CATGAGAATTATAACTGTTTTCAATGGGGCTTGAATTAGTGGACTGGACCCTTAAGGGTACAGCATGCAAAAGATTAGATTTGCTTGTTTTCACCTTGATGTAGCCTGGTAGGTTGACCCAGATGTCTTTATTTGGAATTACTTCCAACCCTTCAGCGTGTTTTACAAACTTCATCAAGAACATTCCCCCGATCAGGTACACTACAATCAGGACAGCAGCTCTACAGGGATACAAATGCAACAAATCTTAACGAAGTGTAAATTTTAGGCAGGAATTAAATAGTCCCTTAAAAAACGTACAACCTCGTTATCTGGAGCTGATACACGCAACCTTGAGTAAGTAGTCGGCTTCCGTTGTTTTTTTATCCAAGCTAGTTGGCTGGTTTCAGCAAATGGAAAGCCCTCTCTTCATAAAGTTTGCAAACTAATTAGTCTTCTTGCAGATGGGAGCCTGTTGTTCCAAGTGATTGGTTGAGAGGAATTGATATTGATTTTTCCCACTACGTGTACTGAATTCATCAGAAAATGAGTTGGTTATTGCATTCCCAATTGCGGGCTGTGAACATAACACTTCAATGATAGTCTCTTGTAAAGAACTGCGCACGTTACTTGCGTGGATTATTAAAAAGTAATGGCTATGATCACCGTGATTAAAGGCTACGGTTCATTCAAACAGCTTGAGACTAGAGTAAATTGATCAATTAATGCATTACCTTGGGATAGGCTTGTTACAAGGTTGGCAGCCCCTTGAGATCAGATGCAATACTACATGCCCTGCAACATCAAAACTTTCACTGCAGCATACTTACACGATACAAATAACGGAACCGACACTGATAGAACCTCTTGATGGAGGGGTAGGGGTAGGGGTAGGGGTATGGCAGGTCCCAGGACAGCAGCACTCTGAAGTCAGGATGAATTTCTAGAAGAGTGTAAGGTCAGAACTAAAGTTGAGATGTTATAATGAGATATTAGTTCAAGAAAGAGTTCAATGTTGTGCACAATATTGTGATTATCGTCCATATTGATGATCGAATTGCAAACAGCACAGCATTTTTACAGTGGGGGTAATTCTATCTAGAACAACATTAATCAGACTTTCTTTGAGTGAAATCTCGCAGTATATACCTGTAACATCGTTGTCTACACAGTGATGTGCAAATTATCCTTTCACAGACTCATTCTGCACAATGTAACATGCTGAGTTTGATACTTTGGTGGAAATAAAGTTGCCACAAATCAACGATAACGTCATGTGTGTTCGATGGTGTGTCCCCGATTGACAAATGTGTACAAAACATATGGGTGGTCTTCTAAAAAAGTTGAAGTACAAACAAAAGAGGAACAATAGGGGGTCCCCAGTTGCAGGCAAATACACACTTACGCGTGTGTGTGTGTGGGGGGGGGGTATACCAGTGTGCCTTGGACACACCAATGCTCAGCAACTGAGGACTTATGCAGGTACTCAATATGGTCATTTGGTACTGGACGGAACAGCAAGGGACCAATAGTTTGTCAACAACGCATAGCAAAATATTACAATACTTACATATTTATTTTCAATTTGAGAAAGGAAGCTCAGTGTGGGAATCTTCGCTGTTGCATCACATTTCAGTGTAAATATAGAGGTCCTGTGGGGAAATGAATCAAGCTGTGATCGTGTCATTGTAAAAGGATACGTTTCAATAGGTTCCACAAGATGGTTAACTCGGCTTCAATCACATCCGTACAGTCTGGCTTAGTTTGGCACAGCACACCATCCCCAGTGTTGCCCAGTGTAAGTGACTTGTGTGCACCCATATAAGTGAGTTAACAAAACATTCCTTCTTGGGTATTGGCCGAATACATATATAATTCATGCGAAAAAACGAACAATAATGCATGCCTCTGAGCTGAAGCACATCCAGTCTTGGGTTAAGTGTGTGAGTTTGTTTCTTCATTCAATTCGGGACCCTGAACAATAGCGGACAATAAGGTCCCCGATTGACAGAGGGTCCCCGATTGACAACGGTGTACAAAACATATGGGTGGTCTTCTAAAAAAATTTAAGTACAAACAAAAGAGGAAAAATAGGGGGTCCCCAGCTGCAGGCTGCAATACACACTGCACTGTCTGTGTGTGTGTGGGGGGGGGTTGGAATGGAGATTTTTCTTCGCACTGATTGTAGATCATTTTTGATCCCAACTAAGGTAATTCTTTCCTCCTCTTGGAGTGATGGACTTTCATCAATTCCTAAAAAACAAAACAAAACAAAACAAAACTGCAACATGTCCTCGGAAACGGGCATATCCCCCAAACGTACGGATATGCAATAACTCTTGTTAGCGAGGAGAGGGTTTTTAACATTATTATAATCACTTTGGATTGACTCACCACATACAGGGAAATTTGTACATGTTTATGTACTACAGAGGACAGAGTTCAAAGGTCCTCATTGGTCAGTCTACTGTCCTCAGTGGCAAAATGCATGCCCATGCTTATTGTTGGACAATAAAAGAAACATTCCCTTCTCTTCTCTAGCACAACAATACTAATGTGTGTCTTTGCATGCGTAATGTTGAAGTCCACGTTAAAGTGATTTGGTCCATTTTTGTGCACCCGGTAAACCCAGAGCTGCTTGTATCCTTGTTCACCAAACCTTATCTCCCAGCAGTTGTGTTTGGACGTTGGGAGATTTTGGGAGCAATGATGAGAACGTGGAAAGTTCTGACTGGACGTTTCTGAGGCATATATTACACACATCACAAACGGCATGGGCCCCAAGGCCTTATACATCATTATCCCAAAACTCACATTAGACTGGCTGCCTATATGGTTGCATACACGACATCTTACTTCCCCCCCTAAAATGGAAGTTCTGCAATACGAGTTACAACACAACACAACACAACACAACACAATGCAACAAACTGCAAAGCTATTCCCTCTCAACTATACAACACGCACAATTTTCCATGGGGTGTGCAAAAGCATACAAACGTTCCAAACAGAAAACTTATTCTGAAACAGAGTGACAAGCCTTCCTACGGTCATATATGTACTGCAATGTTTGAAAACACTGTCCATGTTTTTGTTCCTTTCAAACAAGACTCTTCCAATATTTTTTTTTTTGGGGGGGGGGTAAAAAACAACTTCAAACCTTTACTGTTAACACATGAATGCACAACAATGTGTTCCATAACTTTAAGAACCGTGACATGACACAACAACAGCAGCTTTAAGATTAACGACAGTAGGGCTTTAGACTTAAATCAGCCACAGTCTTTTACATAGTCTCAATGAGTCTTTGTGGTGGTTTGCTGACTCTTGATGAGCGATGCTAAGGTTTAGGAGGGTCCCTTGCGACTGTGGTCAAAGCTGATGTCTCTGGTTTTGCGTAACTTTCTTTGGCCATGGGATATTCCTGTGTCTGATGCTTCTTCATCGGGGAAGTTTGTGTGCCTTCTTCCAGACTAAGCACTGCGGGAAAGATTACACCTGGGTCAAACACTGGATCTGGTTTTTCCTCTGGAAGACCTGGGAATGTGTCGCAGTTGTTTGGACCGAGACAGTTCTGATCTCCTCATCTGGTCTACATGCCGTTTCCACTCACTGTTATCTTGCGGAATCACGACATATAACTTGGGTGCTGTTCGCTCAGCAAGCGTTGCTTCCACCAAGTCTCCTTCTGGCGAAAATCTTTCACCAAAACCTCCTCCTCTGCGTAAAACTCACGAAGCCGGGTTTGTCATGATGTTACTTTTGGCTGCTTTGCAATTGGTTACTTTCCTCTCTGTGTCTGGGCGTAGCAAGGACACGCGAGTACGCAGTTCGCGTCCCAGGAACTTGCCGGAGTGCGACCTGTCGTTGCATGTTTGATGGTGCGGTAGGTCAACAGGAAACTGTCAATGCGTTGCTGCAAACCCCATCCACTCGAGTTGCACTGAGAGCATGTTTGAATGACTGTATCATGCTCTCGGCTGCACCATTGCACGCTGAATGGTAAGGCGCAACTCAAGCGTGCTCGACACCATTCACCTTGAGGAAATGCTGGAATTGCCCACTGATGAACTGAGGTTTACTAGCTGGAATGGAATACCGTACCTGCTGAATATGTCACGCAGCACCGTTATTGTAGCTTGTGATCTTGTGCTAGTCATGTGAAAGATTTCTGGACATTTTGCGTATGTATCCACTATCAAGAAGTGGCCATCTTTTTGTGCGAAGTCAACGGGAATTCTGTGCCAAGAAGAACTGGGCCGTTGAGAGTTAATTGGCACAGAACCGAACAGTCTGTTAAATGTCTCGATCAATATTTGGCCACCAGACATAGCTTCTTGCTATCTCTTTCATTCTGACCATACCTGGATGAGCGATGTGCAGTTCCTCCAAGATATCCTTCTACCCCACAGCAGACAGTCTTGTTCCGTGGACAGCTCGTGTCGGCGACTGAAGAAAGACTCAAGTCGTTCATCCTCCACTTTAGTCGGCCAACCGCTCCTGGTATACTCGAACACGTGTGACAGGACTGCGTCTGTCCTGGTAGCAAGCGAAATCTCCTTGCTTGTCATTGGAAGGCTGTCAAGACGCTTGTCATCAATGTTGAATATATGGTGTCGTCGTCATTATCTTATATAGCTGGTATTGGAAGACGTTAAAGCGCATCGATCGGCAAACCCATTCGGTGAGGCCAGGATGAATTTCAATTGCTGACAGCCTTACCGCCCATCGTTGCAGGCGTTGTGCGGCTAGAGATGTAAATCGCAGTCTTGGAACCAAGAATGCACTCCAACAGCTTGTGATCTGTAATTCGTATGAAGAACTTCCGCCCGTATAGGTATGCACTGAAACGTTTGAGAACAAACATGATTGCTAAGGCCTCTTTGTCCAATTAAGCATAGCACCTCTCATGTTTGTTGAGAGAACGTGAAGGTAGGCCACTGGATGACCTGAATCATCTGCATAGATGTGAAGCATGCATGCCCCGACGCCATACGGTGATGCGTCAGTGGCTAGCTCAAATTGTAGCATTAGGTCGTAGTGTGCGAGGAGCTTATCTGAACTGATAGCTTCCTTCACTGCATCAAATGCAATGGAGTACTCGTCAGTCCACTACATTCCAGGGCCGACCTCCCAGCAGTTCATTCATGGGTGGATCATTGTTAATAGATTGGGGAGAAACTGTGTCTGAAAGTTCACCATTCCCAACTATGAGCGAAGCTCCGTCACATTCTGCGGAGTTGAATACTGGCATGTCGCGTCCACCTTGTCATCAGTCGGTTGAACCCCCTTTGCATAGTTACGACGTCCCATGTAGCTGACGCTCTCCTGTATGAAGTGTCACTTCTCCGTTTTTACACCGTTAGCCAAACTTCCTGAATCTTTGGAAGACATTTCTTACATTCAGGAGATGTTCCTCGTCGTTCTTGCTGGTCACGGTTACCATCACATCATCAATGATTGCACATGTGCTATCAAGGCCTGCCAGGACTTGCTCAATGAATTGTTGCCAGATTGCAGGACTTGAGGAGATACCGAATGGCAAGCGTGTACAACGATACAGTCCCTTGTGAGTGTTGATGGTGACGTACTCCTGGGATTTCTTGTCCAGAAGCATCTGCTGGTATGCACATTTCAAGTCAGTTTTGGAGAATTTCGCACCTCCAGCCAGCTTACTGAATACTTCCTCTGACGTGGGTATGGGGTATTGGTCGGTATGGATTGATGCGCTAACCTTACATACCTAGTGTGGTCTTGTGAACAAGAGATATTCACACGATGCAGGAAAGGAAGACGTTCTGTGGACTTACACACGTCCACAGGACGTTTCCCCTTCTCTGAGAAAGAAGTTCAGAGGCATTTTAGGATAGGGGTCATCTGTCGTAAAAGGAAGAGAAACAGTCAAGAAAACCTTGTAGGCCTACGAAAAAAACCAGCTGATAATAGTGTTCCCAGTTCAAGAAAAATGAGTATTTTCACTGAGTTTTCTTAACTGCACGAAAAGAAAGGAATGTCCACAGTAGGTATGTAAAGTAAGTGTGGGTGAGTTCATCGTGTTCTTATAATCCCCACACAGGCACACTGTACCATATCAGCCTTAGGCACACACCAAGGGTGTTGCCTAAAGTCAACTGGATAGATGGTAGTCTCTTGCTTCATTTTTGCGAGTTAATTCCTTCTCGACAGCAGGGCGAAGAGCCAACGGTACTGGCCGAGCCTTCTGGAAAACTGGAATCGGGTCGTCCTTGACATGCAGAGTTGCTTTCATCAATCCGCGTACAGTGCCTAATGCCGACTGGAGAATATCTGTGTACTCTTGTTTCAGCTCAGCAGTCGGGTCAAACTTGACTCGCTACTGACCCCGAGAGAGTCAGATTGGCCCAGTCCAGATTTAGGATCGTTAACCAGTCTCTGCCCAGCAAAGGAGGTGCTTGTTTGTCTGCGTCACTGACAATCAAAGGCAGTTTTGCCTGCTGCTCGTTGTACTGGACCTTTACTAGCAATTGGCCCGCAATTCTCAATTGGGCCCCAGAGAAGGCGTGCAGGACACGATTTAGCGGTTGCAGTGGATTGCCCCCCCCCCCAAAAAAAAAAAAATCTGTGATAGTCCTCCTGGCTCATTATCGAGGTAGAACCACCGGTGTCCAGTTCCATCTGTATTGGAATGTCTGCTATTCGAATAGGGACTTTGATGGTTGGGGTACGTCTGTACGTGTGCGTCTCAGCTCGCGCGTCCGAGTCAGTCCTGGCTTCAAACTGCTTGTCTGCATGTGAGGAACTCAGAAAAGTCCACAAAGTCAGCATTGCCGAGCGAACACCACTGGCAAGCGAGTTTTGATCATGATCGGTATCTTCTACGTAGCGAACACGCCCTTTTTGTTTATAGTGCATGGTTGGGGGCGTGTTTCACAGTTGGCGTTGCAGTGTCTGAACTGGCCCTGGACCTGCAGTCTGTCTGCAAATATCCCGCCTTCTTGTATTTGTAGCATGTTGCCCCTTGTGTCTGAACTCATCGCAATTGTGATTGCTCAATTCACAACGGTCACAGGGTTTCCTACTATTCTGCGAAAGTCTTGGCTTCTGTCTTTTAAGTTCCCCCTTGAGGCGTGAGGAAAACACTCTGTTCAATGGTTTACTCTCTGTGGTTCGTATGTGGCGTACATTCTTTGCAGCCGCCTCCTCTGCCAGAGTGTCTGCTGGAAACTGTAGTTGCGTGTCGACAGTTTCTTTTGGATGCTCTCCGACTGCAGACTACAGATAAATCTATCGCGTAAACTGTCCTGCAGCTGGTCTCCTGCAAATCACAGTACACTGCCAACTTCTTCAAATCGGCAGCATAGTCACAAATGGACTGGCCTGGAAAGGTTCTGCTTAACATTATGAAATCTTAATCGTTCTCCTACTGCCAGTCTTTTGGGCTTGTACTGTCCTTTCAACAGAATACACATTCTGCAAAAGTCTTCTCTCGAGTTGGCTGTTGTGCAAAGTCTTTCAGTGTCTTATAGGATACCGTGCTCCCGATGCTACTCAACAAAATTGGTTACTGCATTTGCCTCAACGGAAGTACGTGTGTTCGTACGTGCCGTGTGGAGAGAGTCAGAAACTTGTCGGAAAATACCACTCAGCAACGATCCCTACGCTGTCTCCTGTATCACCGAATGTCGAATGGAGTCCGTAAATCCTCGTCGCCACTGTTGTGTGTGTACGTTGGGAGATTTTGGGAGCAATAATGAGAACGTGTAGAAGTTCTGACTGAACGTTTCCGAGGCATAGGCCTATATCACACAAATCACAAACGGCATGGGCCCCAAGGGCCTGCATCATTATCCCTAAATACACAATAGACAGGCTGCCTATTAGACATGTTGCATACACTGTATTTCCTTTTGTAATCAGAATAACCAGGGGTTCGTCCCCCCTGCAGGGAGACCATTGCCTGTTCTCTTAGTGAGTACAGTTTGGATGATAATCACAAAACCTGCCAATTTCAGCACCCCTATGAAATTATTCCCTAGAGCAAAGCCAAGAATATCCCCCCAACTCTAGATTAATTGTTACCTAACACATCGCCTATGGATGTCTGAAAAATTCCTCAGCTTCTGGTCAAACAATGACCAACACAAAGGGGGGGTCTCTGTCCCGTCTCTTGCTTCAAATGTATGCAAGTGACAAAACTGACATTTACTTCTCTCCATGTTTATATTCAACATAGTAGTTTGTTGCATCATTTGTCCAGGAGGCAGTCACATCTCCGACGTCAAAGGTTTCATCGTGCTTGTTGTATGACCTCTGGCACACCTGTAAGTAGTCACAAAAATGTTAAAGGTCATACAGTGCAACATGACTTTGTGTTAGCTGAGTCTCAACAGTGAAAGTACAAAAGGTTCAAGAGCTTACTCGAGTAGTATACATTACAACAGAAACAGCAGTCAGAAATCATGAAAATAATTCAAAATTTGAACTATGTGCATGTATAAGTTTAGTGCTTACAATAACGCTTTTGCAGTTTGGTGTGCCATCTGACCACGGGTAGCATGGATTGTAGGCATACTCCCAGGGGGCCTTGTACAGCTTGAACCCAAACCTCAGGACGTGAAAGTAGAGAGAATAAGAGCAAAGAAACCCGGGTAGCTTTTTGGCAAGGGGTGAATGTGCTATCTTCAAACTTGAGGCACAGGAATTTTACTCACTGAGTCAGTTGTCCACTCAGTTGATAATCTGCATTCAAGGACGGATCAAGAACAAAATGTTTGGAGGGGGCATTTCTTTGGGGCCCCAAAATTGGTAAATTACTTGATGTAACCTTTAGATAGGATTTCTGCTGGGTAGCTGGGCTAAATTGGGGGGGGGGCTTTTTGAGTTTTAGTTTTGGAAGAAAGAGAAATGAAATAGCTACTGCAAACTGCCTTTCTCTTTTGTTTGGGCTGCTATGGCCCCCTGTCCCCCCCCTTCCACCAGTATCTACATCCCACACATGTATGATGAAACCACGGGCTATATGCCTTGCTGCATATGGGTTTGTGGTCTGACTAGCTGTAGAAAGAGGAATAATCAGCCAAGCTGTGTGATTACGAAAGAATCAATTCACTACCAGATGACGCCTACTTAAGGTCACCTTCCAAGGCGTAGACACAATAAACTATGTGTCCCTGCAGTTCCGTCATATGCAGCAAGGTATGAGACGGAGAGAACCCCCCCCCCCTGCTTTGTGTNCATTTCTTGCTGCGTTTAAGTTCCGTTAAGCCTAGTGATAGTGACTGTTCTCTGATGTGCAGTGGGTATATTTCTCCCAAAAACCGAGTTACGTCCCAGGGTTTTTCCGATAGCTGGTCATCGGAAAGGGCCTATTCTCCAGCGTCTGTCTGGTGGCGCCTCAGCAGGTGTGAGGGTCGACAGTACGTTACAATAATATAATGTATTATTTACACATTGTGGACCACTAACCTCTAAATCTAGCATGAGGGTGGAAATCACCTTTCAGCGGAACAGCGCAACATAAAGGTATGCACACACAGATTAGTGTGTACATATTGCAGTCAACATCGTATCAAGCATATTGTTCGACTGTAATGTAGCATAACACTTATTGAATTTTTAATTTGAAGTAACACTGTACACACATATATGAAGACGAGAAACTGGACTACATCCAGCGTTGATATTCTAATTTGTTACAGATATAATACTAAAATTGCTGGCAATTGACACTTCCAAAAAGAGCAACTGTTTAAATGTGTTAAAGGAAGCCGCTTTTTGTGCAGATTGGCTCAACTAATCATGGATCTCGAAAACTTAGAATGAATTTATCGGAGATCCAATGCTGTTAGGCCTATATAGCTACATGTACCACTGTTTCATAGAATGCATCACGCATGTGGTAAGTTCAGGTCTTATGGATGCTCCTAACTATGCGATACAGGAGGTATGTCTTACCTTGGAGCCTTTGTTTTATCACTGTAGCCTAAAGACCTTATATTAATTTCTTGGTCGCTTTTACCACCGCTACCCTTTATCCGGCAAGAACAGTCGTCAACTTTTTCACATGAACTGAGAGCACCCAGGGCATTTCCTAGGAGAGACAGGCAAGCAATGACAAGGAGGAGGTGGCTCTGAGAGTGCCATGGGGTTTCAGTGAAAGATCGCATGGTATAAGGTTTCCCCAAGAGAGACAGAAGTATACAAACTTGTATCCCAGAACAATGAACTGGACTGGTGTGTCCCTGCTGCCTCACTGTCACATGCCTGCAATTAATGTTCCGAGTACACAGTTCAACACAGATAATGCCAACAGTCTACACGCTACGTGGGCTTTGGTCTCGAGCTGCCTGTTATTTGTACACTATCGCGGCTGACAAGTTCAGTCTAGTGCTGGTTTCATTTTGTTCTGTTCCACCATACACGACACACAGACAATGCTAGAATCAGAAGTGCCGTCCTTATAATCAACTGAACCAAACATTCTAAACAATAAAATCAGCTTGATACTCAGTCATAAGCCCCTCCTTTCCAATATAATGTGTGAATGGCCAAAATTTCCTTTTCTCTGTTTTACATCTACTTAGGCCTGAATAATCACACTTTAAGCCAGATTTCAACAAATCCAATAGTCATCAACATTGGCACGTTTTGGGGGCAAGTTTTGCCTGATTTGTAAGCTCCTTTAATCTATTAGTCCCGGTCTGTAATGTACATGGCCCGGCACTTGGCCAGTGCAGAAAGCAGTATGAAAGAAACAGGGAAAGCAGAACAGAAGCTGTCCAGCTCCATTACTTGTGGCCCTCCGTGTGTTTGCTGTTCCACCAGGACCTGCGTGCTTGTTTTCCCTCCCCAGCTGTTGTGAAATTTGTCCCCTGGCCTGATCGGGCTTACTTGCTGTATCCTGGGAATTCCCCCCCTCCCCCCACAACGCTGCTGACCAGTTGCCCCGCCCCCACTTGCCCACCTCCTTACATAAGTATGTAAGTGGAAGGGAAATATAAAAAAAAAACTGGTTCCTGGGATAAAAGCATTGGTAGGTCAATTACTTGTCAAAATTAACATGAATAGGTATTGATACATCGTTTTCATTATCAGTACAAAGTACATGTGCACGTTGTATGTAATAAATGGAGACTAAACGGGACTGCAAAGTATGGATTGTACATAGTTTAATACAATTTAATCACATTTCATTGATAACACGTACAAGCAGACTGAATCGTCATAAAATCATAAATCTATCTGCTCTGTTCGTTCCAAATATACTCCAGACAAATTAAATTACGATAATCGGTGACGTCTCTATATATCTAATTGGTTAGGTAACCCTTTTTCTGCACTTTATTATACATGCAAATTACTGAAAATCCTGGCAGAGCAAAGTTGAGTCAAGTCAGGTAATAGAAATGAATTCTGCGACTTGCATGATTGCCAGGTTTGTCAACAGTTAAGTCAAGCGCCAAATCAGTATACACCGGTATACACGAAAATGCCCAGTTTGCACACAGTAGTTTCATCGATTGCACGTACATGTGTGAATCAACATAGACACTTGAAATATTATATTAATTAAAATGTTTTAAGAAAATGTATGCAGGTCTCAAAAAACCCAACAAACCAACCCTATCGCCATTTTACAAAAAGGCACGCATATTTTATCGTACACAGTCTGTGTGCAAAAAACAAACACATGAAAGCATAAGTTAAATAAAAATACACAAACCGATTAAGAGTCAACACAACTTTTTAAAAATCACACACATTAATTACACATATTGAGCAAAATTCATCTGTTTAAATTGATTCACAAAACTATGCAGACTTAAATAAGAGGATTTCATATGTTGGAGGTAAATTGTTCCATGATTGAGCAACTCGAGAATTAAAAGTTCTTTTTCCATTTCTGATCTAGGATGCGGGAGAACTACGTTACCAACCGTGCTTTTTCTCGTTTGGTAACAATGACAATCACTGACTCGAATAAAAAACACTACTGAGATATTTTAGTGCCTTGCCCGTTAAACATTTAAAAACCATAGTATTTATATGGATATCTCTTCCTGCCTGGAGTATTCCATCCCAATTGGCTTCGTACTACTGACGCTGATGTTCTAGATAGAACCTTCAGAATAATTCGTTCAGCCCATCAAGCCTTTGCATCGTTGTTTTTGAGGCGTAACTCCAAACCAGATCACGATAATCAAGCAGAGAAAAAATATGGCTTTTCACGATGAGATTGAGTGTAAATACAAGAAAGACATTTTTAGGTGTGTTTAAAACACCATTTTTTTCAGACACAGAAGTTTCCACATGATCAATATGATCAGTCGATTTCATTTTACTGTCAATTTACACTCCAAGATTTTTGTAAGTAGTGATTTATTCCAAACGATTGCCATCTTCAAAAAATATCAAAGTATGGATGTTCACACCTGGCATGTTTTGGGCTTAGCCAATCAAGATGTTTTTGCACTGAGTAGTATTAAGTTTTAACCTGTTGTCATTAAGCCAATTGGTACTTTTTGCAGGTCATCATTTAAGCACTGGTTAATTTGGTGAATATCTTTACTTGAATAAAAAATCGATGTGTTGTCAGCCTAAAGGACAATTTTGGAATGCTCAATCACAGGTGTAATATCATTAATGAATACAGAAAATAATAGTGGACCCAAAATGCTTCCATGTGGCACTCCAACATTGATCACAGATTTGTTTGACAAGGTGTTCCCAAGTTTAGTTACTGGTGTCCTTCCATTGAGATAAGACCGGAACCAGTCGAGCTCCAGACCTCTTACGCCCAAAATGTAAACTTAAAGATTCATCTGAGAAAAAGCCATTGGTTTCCTGCACTGTGAGGGATTTTTGAGGATTGAGGGAAATTCCTAATAAGATCATGTCCAACTAGATCCTGGACAAAAAAAGACTTATGTTTCACTGTATCCAGAGCGTTTGCCACAAGTGAAGACAAATAGGAAACCATCCTACGAAAAGAGAAGAGAAATAAAACAGGGATTTCATTTCCACTACACTTGAATAGTGTTGAGACCAAACGTGCCGAGTTTCTAGTTATTCACATTGCTTTAAACATTTAGGTGGGGCTGCATGGCCTCTGAACATAAACACCTCTTCATGTGTTGGCAGGGAGAACAGTTGGTTGCTCACTTGAATATCATTGGTGCTTAGTGTGTCCCTAGTGCATGTACAACAACCTATTATGGGTTTGTGTATTCACAGATTCAATTAAGATGTGTATAATTCACATAAAGGAACACGCGGGCAGTCTTAATTTTAGGATACTTTTCATTGAGCTTCCTTACTTACCCTTCTTTAAGTGTGAAAATTGGACACGGGTAATTCCAGAAAGTAGGGGTCCAAAAGTGTGACATTTTTGTGTCCCTGTAACATCTGACCTTTGCTATTTAAAGAGTTGATTTAAAACTATTACTCTTTGTTTGGGAGGTAATGTGCATTAATTCATTGCAAAATGTTTTGCTCTGCAGAACATCTTTCAGGTAACGCTTGGTGAGGATGGAAGAAGATTTCCAGCAAGCCGCCTGGTGGATTTCAGCTAAAGGAACTCCTCTGAAGTACGACCAGCATGCAGAGGCGGCTCGCACGCCGTCAGCCCTGACGTGAGATCGGGTCGTCTCATCATTTTGTGCCGGCCAGTGTCCGTTATCGAAGATAATGGCGGAGACCGTCTATAGGGCAATAGTGTCCTTCGACGCCAGATGAAAGGGTTTCGTCGTGGTGATAAAGAGCTGGGAATTAGATTCTCGCCAATGCTCAATCCTGGCAGGATACCACTTGAGAGTCCGGACCGGACACAATCTCTTGTCAGAGTCGTCTCCTGAAAGTGGGGCTATGCACGGAGCGAATATGTTGGGAGGTCGAAAGGTAGGCATCTGTTTTTTTATCAGAAACCTGATGGTTGGGATAAGGCGAACCCCGTGGCTCCCAGTAAATGTGACCATCGGCAAACGATAGGGCATGAAACTCGCTACCTCGTCTCGATGTAACGACCACAAGGAGGAAGGCCAGTTGATGCTGAGATGGAGGTCATATGCATGGAACAGCAGATTGAATGGGGGACCAGCAAGAATGCGTATGACACTTCCAAGGCCCCGGGATAAGACAAGGCGATTGACTTGGGGACACTTGACAAACATTCCTCGAAGGAGATGGTGGATGGCAGCGCTGTCAAAGACAGTCGATCAATCACTGAAGCATAAGTGAACAGCCGCCAAGGCCGACCAGTAGTTCCGGATGGTGGCAATCTGGAGGCTCGAGTAAAACAGATACGTAAGGAAGTCTGCAACGGAACTCACGGGAGCTTCAATCGGAGAAACATCATGGTCGTCGTACCATCTAGTAAAATGTTGTTGACGGCTGTTGTAAATTTTGTGAGTGGACAGTCGTCGACCCCGGGATGCCATAGACGCAGCGTCTGTAGGTCATATGCATGGGACAGCAGATTGAATGGGGGACCAGCTAGAATGCGTATGACACTTCCAAAGCCCCAGGATAAGACAAGGCGTAAAATGTTGTTGACGGCTGCTGTAAATTTTGTGAGTGGACAGTCGTCGACCCTAGGATACCACAGATGCAGCGTCTGTAAAAAGGCCCAATGCCCTGAAGGATTGTTAGACGACGTCCAGCACGTCAAGTGAAGACTCTCCGGTACTGGGTGGAGGATCCCTGACTGGGGTTAGTGAAGGATGTCCTCCCTGACTGGAAGGACCAGCGGCTGTCGTGCCAGGAGTCCTGCCAGTCTTGGAAACGACAGTTGGCGAGGCCAGCACGGAGCGATAAGGGGCATCCGACATCTTGGACAGGATACGGGATACTGACGGAAACGCATACGCCAGAAGGCCCGCCAGTCGAACTGTAGAGTACCTGTCGCTCATGCCCGTGGGTGAGGGAACCTGGAGCAGAACCTCGGGAGATGGGTCCTGTCGGTGGAAGCGAACAGGTTGATATGGGGACGCTCGATCTCCGCAAAAATCTGGCTGACCACGTTTGGGAGAAGAATCCACCCTATTGATCGGACGGCGCCTCGAGCGTGTCTGCTATGGTGTTGCTGGTTCCCACTAAATGAACAGCTTGGAGGGTGACAGTCGTTGTAGCTGGCCAGGGAGGCGTGGGGCCGTCCCGGTGTGTAGACTGATACTGATGAATACATGTACATATCTTCCGCTGTAGGGGCTGGTAGTAGGGAGACCGCCAGACTGGACTTCAGAGCACGGGAACTGGGGGTGAATGTCGAACGCCCAGACCCGGCTAACGGGGGAGTACGTTTACTTGCCCCAAGTGCAGTGCCAACGGACAAAGCCGCCACGATCCCAGACATGATCCCGAGCTGGGTCCCGCTGGGGGGAACGGTTCCGGCTGGACAGCAGAGACCACTTCAACCTCCAAGGACGTCCCTTGTGAGATAGGAGGGGCGGCCGGGAGGGGATTCGGATCGGGTGCCGTCGCCGCTGGCTGAGACTTGGAGTGTATCTTGTGGGCGAGAGAGGTGAACGCCTCCGAGACGGAGTGGAGGGTCGTCATCCGTGGTGGTGGATCTGGATCTCTTAGCCTTGGACGAGGAAGAACAAGCCGAAAAGATGTCTTGGCCTTGCGCACCCTAGCCTTCACTGGTGCAGGGGAGCAGGAAGCTGGGACGATTGGAGGTACAGCCGGGCGGGGGTCCCCCGAATGGTCATTGTCCCAAGTCAGGATCAGTGGCGTCATGGTCTGAGTCCATCGGCAGACAGGAGCTGCAGATGGGGTATGGCGGACGAAAGCCCCGGCAGCCTTGGAAGCAGTCCAAAGGGGGAGGCATCGTCCAATGCAACGGGAGGCTGAGTGCCGTGCTGAATTGCAGGACTCACACGTGGCAGAAGCAGTGGAGCGTGGCGAACCCACTGTGGAACCCGTTGCCTGCTTGGAGGGAGTTGACTGGCCCGGCTTCCGAGCGGGCACCGCCCAACAGGGGACCCTGGGCAAAGGGCGGACCGTCGCCCCGCGAGCCCCGCTGGGCCATAGGGTCGCCTGAGGATGCGGTAGGTAGCGATGCCCAGAGAAGGAACCGCTCATCATTCTCTGGTCACCATGCTATGATCAAGGGTAGTGTTGGAGCATGGCTCGCTCAACCCGACCTGTATGTAGAGCGGGCGTTGATGACCCACGGTAGTGTTGTGGCCCAGCACACTCAGCCTGGTCGGTAGGTGTAAGGAGCAGTCGTCAGTGATCACGGGCAGTGTTACAGTACCGCTCGCTCAGCCCGATCAATTCCGGTAATGGCCATCAGTGATCAGGGTATTGTTGCGGCATAGCTTACTCAACCCGATTATGTAGATAAAGGTCCGGGGTAGCGTTGCGGCATGGCTCGCTCAACCCCGGCCTATTTATTCCACTGGGGTTCTCCTCGTTGAGGCCGTTAATTAGATAACGCCCAGAGCGTCTTGTACGCATGTCCACAAAACTTTATCTCCCTTTGTCATCAGAATAACCAGCGGTTCATCCCCCAGCAGGGAGGACCACTGCCTGTTCTCTTAGTAGTTTGGATGATAATAACAAAAAACTTGCCAATTTCAGCACTGACCTCCATGAAATTATTCCCAGGAGCCCAGCCAAGAATACCCCCCTCCATGTCCAAACCCTTAGAAACTCTAGACCCAACATATTACCTCTAGATGTCTGAAAAAATTCCTGAGCTTCTGGTCAAACAATGACCAACACAAAAGGGGGGTTCTGTCCCATCTTGCTTCAAATGTATACAAGTGACAAAATTGACATTTACATGTACTTCTCGTCATGTTTATATTCAACATAGTAGTTTGTTGCATCATTTGTCCAGGAGGCAGTCACATCTCCGACGTCAAAGGTATCATCGTGCTTGTTGTATGACCTCTGGCACACCTGCATGTAGTCACAAAAATGTTAAAGGTCATACAGTGCAACATGACTTTGTATTAACTGAGTCATAACAGTGAAAGTACAAAAAGTTCAAGAGCTTACTTGAGTAGTAAACATGTCAACAGAAACAGCAGTCAGAAATCTTGCTTACAAAAACGTTGTTGCAGTTTGGTGTGCCATCTGGCCACGGGTAGCATGGATTGTAGGCATACTCCCAGGGGTATGAGGGATTGTAGCGCTTGAACTCGAACCTCAGGATGTGAAAGTAGAGAGTATAGGAGCAAATAACAAACCTGGGTGACTTGTTTTTGCAAGGGGGTGTATGTGCCATCTCCAAACTCGAGGAACAGGAATTTTACCGAGTCGAAAGTTGTCCATTTTCAGTTGATTAGCTGCAGTTATTTATACATGGTGATGATACACGATCAGAGCAACATTGAATGTAATGTAGTACATCTGCATCCAAGGGCGTATCAAGAACAAAATTTTTGGAGGGGGCATTTCTTTTGGGGCCCCCCAAATTTGTAAACTTAGATAGGGTTTCTGCTGGGAATACCAAATGGGGGGGGGGGGCTTTTTTGAGTTTTAGTTTCGGAAGAAAGAGAAATGAAATAGCTACTGAAAACTGCCTTACATTTTCTTTTTTACCAATTTTTTTTTTCCTCTTTGGGTTACCATGGCCCCCGTTCCTCCATACACATTGCTTGTCGGAATTATTTTGTGAGGGGTTGTTTGTTGATTCTTTGATTTTGAGTCATGTCGTCGACTGTTGTAATATCTTTATATTAACTTTGAAATTGTTTCATTTTGTTTTATTAATTTGTGTTAATTACGATTTATTGTTAATGTTTTCAGGGAAAGCACGTTTGAATACATATGTGTCATAGACTTTGTGCTATAGAAGTCTATAAATTACCATTGTTATTATTCCCCAGTTTCCACCACTATCTACATCCCACACATGTGCCTTGAGGCCAAGGGTTACTTGATAATGGGGCACAGATGAGCTACACTATTCTGAGTCTCAAATATGAGTAGGCCTACAATCATGCCTACTACTCATGCCTGGTATAATGTATTACTTGAACATTGTGGATCACTTACTTCTTGTTTAGCATGAGGGTGGAAATTGCTTTTCAGAGGAACAATGTAAGATAAGTGTGAGTGTGTACATATTGCACAGTCAACAAATCAGATCAAGCAGATAGTTTGACAGTAAAATGTAGTATGATGCATCTAAAATATTGAAGGAACACTGTATATGTGTACATGTACATGAAGACGAGAAACTGGACCATGATTGAATACATCCGATATATCCTAATTTGTTACAGATGTAATTCTAAAAATGTGGCATTGCTGGTAACTGATAATTCTAAGAAAGAGCAACTGCTTAAATGTGTTATGAAGGCAAACGTTTTGTGCAGATTGCCTCAACTAAACATGGATCTCTCTAAAACTTAGAATTCATGAGGTGCTACTGCTGTTATTAAGCTACCACTATTTCATGGATTACACCACGCATGCAGTCAGTTCAAGTTTTATTGATGCTACTCAAAACCATGCAATACAGAAGGCAAAACCATGAAATAAACTAGAAGATACAATGTATTTCTTACCTTGAAGCCTCTGTTTCATTACTTTACCCTGAAGACCTAATGTTAATTTCTTGGTCGCTTTTACCACCTCCACCCTTTATCTGGCAAGAACATGTCGTCAACTTTTTCACATGAACTGAGAGCATCCAAGGCACTTCCTTGGAGAGACAGGCAAGCAGCGACAAGGAAAAGGCGGCTCAGAGAGTGCCCTGGGATCTCAGTGAAGGATCGCATGGTAAAGCTTCTTCTTTGAGAGAAGTGTACAAAATTATATCCCTGAACAATAAACAGGACTGGCATGTCCCCACCACCTCACTGTCACTTGCTTACAAGTATATACATGTATGAATGCCTGCAATTACAAGTTCAGAGTACACAGTTCAACACAGATAATATAACTACTGTAGCCTGCATGCCACGTGATCTTTGATCTTGAGGTACGCGTTATGCAATACTATCGCTTAAAGCTGGTGAGTTCAGTCCAGTGGGCGGATTTCTTTTGTTCTGTTCCACCATACTGTACATGTACATGCATGACACATGATGCTAGAATCACAAGTGCCTTCCTAACAGCCAACAGGAAGCTTTTCTGAGCTATGAAATAAACTTGAGATTCAGTCATAAGTCAACCCTTTTATATAATGTGTGAATGACCTCCAAAATAACAAATTAGGTGTAGCCCTTTCTCTGCTTTTAAAGTTCAGATACAAATACACAAATAAATTGGTGGATCTAATGTACTTGGGTCTGAATTATTCCAGTTTAAACCAAATTTCAACAAATCGGATCCAATTTTATTTGTACCAAATGCCAGGACAGTGATGTGTTGGAACCTTTTTACCATAAAGCTCTGGTTTTCATTATGTACCGAGTTGCCTTGTCATTAAAGTGAAGCAGCAATGAAGTCTTCTTTGGAAATGTTTTTCTGCAACTTTGTACTCATCTTCAATGTCTAAAACCTCTTACAGATTCCTTTTTGGTTGAATGCACTGAAAAGTTTACTTTTTTTATAAATTCAAAATTATCCATGCTTTCCGAGTCCAGGACAACCAAGGACATTGTTTCTGTGATTCATCCAGGGAAGACATATGTGTACATGTAGTTCAGGGCATAGGTTTTTTCGTTCAAATTGTGAACCCAGATCCTGAGATCCTGACGTACGCGTTATGTAGGCGTTATCCTTTCCGAATCATTTCTGAGAAAGGGATTGATGTTTACTTGTTGCTATTGCTCATAAACAGTCCAGGCATGTCAGAATAATCTGTAAAGATACCAACACCGCAGTGGCAGAACCCTCATGCATTCTTAAACTTGATAAGGCACGTGTGAATTTTGGAAGGTCACAAGACCTGTCTGATTGTTCAACAAAGATGGATATTACATGCGTTTACTGCCCATCCATAAGCCTTGGCCCAATTGCATGTGCATGGAGCCACTTAACAGTGAGCAGAAACATCAGGCTTAGCAGAAAAATTTGCAGACCTAATTCGTGATTTCAAAGCAGCGCTTGGTTTGGTAGTGCACATAGTTTCTGTACATACCGGTACATACTAAGGTAAGCAAATTTTCCCCCAGGTAAGCTTGCCTTTTGCTGTGTTTACTGTTTGGGTCTCCATAAAATGTAGCGTAAAATTGTGTGCTTAGCAGCCCATGGAAATGGGCCCTGGTGCGGATTCAGGATTGTTAGAGATGGAAGCACACAAGCAGTGCACCAATTGGAGCTTTGACATTCCAATCTCATGAAGATTATGTTGATTTCTTTTACTATAAATGTTAAGTACAGCTGGGGTTTAACATAAAAATGAACTTGAAATAATGTGCCCGATATCGGTAATGCTGAGTAAGAATATTATACTGAATAAAGAGGATTAACTTGCAATATCAAACACTTCAGGCATGCACATTTTGAACTTTTAATAGTCAACACATTCTACAGCTAAAGTGAAAGCACATCATTAGAACAGCTTGGGAAATCATTACAAGGTGTTACTGTTATTGGGATCTTGCTCAACCGCTCTGGTATATGATGCACCGTAACCAGATCTCTTCCCACAAGAGAAGACGAAGACACATCCATCCTGGGTGAAAAGGAGTATTAAACAGAGGAAATATACAATGCTCTCCTAAAAGGAGGTATTCAACATGAAGTATGCTCCAAGTGTTGCCCTCGAAAATGGCACTTGCCAATTTATCAGCTGATCATCAGAGCATCCACCCTTCTTTGCATTGGGGGTACTGACACCATGGATGGGTATTATACATGTACTCCTGCAGAACCTTACATCAACATAACTTTTGTACAAAATGTTTTTCCTTTCTGAGTGCAACTGAATACATTTTGGTTGATGGGTGGTCCGACCACGATCCGCCTTAGTTTTTTTCTCACCAAGAAAAAGTGGGGGAGGGGATTAATTCAACAGCCCCCAATCAAAACATCAAAAATGGAAGGGATAAATACATGTACCATCACTCAAATCAAGGCCCTTGGTACCGACCATTGTAATTCATGGAGGAAATTATTCAGCAACGCATAAAGAGACTGATGACCGTCATAGCAGGATTTGGTCCTGCAACCTCTTGAACCCTATAAAAGCGCTCTACCTGATGATGACCTATCCAGCCCTGTGATGGCGGATCCATGTAGCAGATCCAGATCTGGGGTGCAACCGATGTGCCCACCCCCCTTCCCATTTAAAAAAACAATTTGTCTTTTTTCCCTTTTCTCCCCTGCTTTTCTTCAGCTCCTGACTAGTTAATAATAATGCAGATGTTATCACTAAAATTCATGATGCCCTGTTCCAATTTTGTGGGTTCAGCTCGATGTGGGGCACCCCCCTACGCACACATGTATAAATGTGTGTTGGGTGCCCACCTTTACTATTTTTAGTAAATACTGGATCCACTACTACTGGATCAGCAGACCACAACTGGACCCTCTCATAAATAAATTCCACACAAGTAACAACAAAACAAACTTTGATGCACAATGTCAATGCCACACACAGAGACGATGAAAAGCTTTTCTGATGTACAAATATTGACTGCTTTGATGAGTGGTGTGGCAAAACAAGCCCCACAATTGGTCCGTGGAGAACTGAATTTTCCCGACGTGAAGGCAAGGGGAAACTTATGGAAAGCAGTCACCAGATAAAGCAGTCAGTATTTGTTTTATTACACATTTCCCACAGATTCTGCTTGACTAAAACAATGAGTGAAAATATGTAGTTTGATCATAACTAAAATATATGTAGTTTGAATTAATGAAGGAAAATGTACCAGCATTGTGCTGTGAGATATGTGTACATGTACTTCCCCAAGTAACAAGATCAGCGAGTCAGTCGCTGGGCAAGGCCCAAGTACTGTAATTAAAGCTTGAGATATCACAAGTAATCACGAGGGAAGTAACTGAATGCACTGTGAGTAGATAAATTGCTGCACCTGCCACTGATGACTATAGCTCGCCTGATAAAATGAGCTTTGACTTACTCTGATGTTGCGGAACAGACTGGTCCAAATATCTATATTGGGTACAACCTCCATCCCCTCAGCATGACGGACACACTTCATGAAGAGCACACCACCAACCGCATAGACAAGTAACAACACAGACGCTCTGGAAGTAATTGAAATAAAGTTCTATGCACTCAGGACATAATTCCAAACAGTTGCCCAATGTTCCCAATCTTGGAGAATCTAAAACTCATCTGTAATTTTCTTCATCAGCAAACGATGACAAAAAATAAAGTATAAAGTGATTATAGTTTGAATGACAGTAGATTCGGAAGATTCCAAAGTTACGGCTGCAGTCATCAACATTTAAGGCAGGTTCATACTACAGGCGAATGAGAGTGCGACACGTCATGACAACTTTCCGGAGAAATTCACTCGAGTTAGAATGTGTTGGACTTTAACAAATTCACAACAGAAGTATTTGATCTGATGTCACAAATGTGCAATCACTTTAAAACTTGGCGTCCGTGCGAAGTATGAAATGGCTTTTAAGCATAATTTTTGCAGTACCCAGTGGGGCCACCTGAACGTTTGTTAAAAGATACTCAAATACTGGCATAGGCTTCTTATGGATATAACTTTGATAAATGGGGAATAAAAAATAATCAGGAACAAAACAAATTGGAAAAACAAAAAGCAGTTTTGCCCACTTGTGACAAGGGGACATATGATATGTGTGCTCTGACGAGTTCCGGCTGACGATTACTCATTCTCCCCCAAAAAACCTGGACAGAATCATGAATAGGACTTACACAACACACAGGATTGAGCCAATGCTAAGGGTAGAGGGCATGCTTCCTGTAGGTGGAGGTGCAGTGGGTGGAAGGGAGTGACAAGTCCCTGGACAGGCACACTCTGTTGTAAGCGTGAAAGTCTAGAAGTGCAAGGAGTGAAAAAAAAAGGTCCCGGAAGTATTTACCTCTGTGAGGGCTAACAGGGACCCATCAGGTCTGTTAGCCCTGTGAGGGCTGATGGGTTTAGAGGTGTTCTCATTTCCATCAGCTGAAAACAGGACCCGTCAATACTACCGGTACCATTCACAGGTAACACCAGCATTACCAAAACACACATGTACATGCACTTGATTGGAGAGTCAACACATTTACGGACAACACTGGCTTCAGAAAAATCAATGCAAAAATCAGAAACTTACATATTCACTCGACTGATCTTTGTAGTAATCAAACTTTGGTGTTTTGGCACTTGCGTCACAGCGCAACTTAATATAAGTCGTCCTGTATCCATCAATAAAGAGGAGTATTAGAAAAACAAAGGCTTTACCACAGATGAGTAGAAGTGTTTATCTATGCGTCAATGCCCTCCTACATGTAGATACTGATAGGTGTCCTGTGCATTGCCAATCATTGCTTGTCCTATCTACTATCTGTCCTATGTATAGTGATAAGCGTCAGAGTAAAATGGTTCATTTCATATTTTGTTTCTGCCTAATTTTGTGAACATTTTAGATACGTACAGGTTTTTGATATCTTTCATTTGAGCTGGTGGGTGAGGGGTACAACAATTTTCACAGGGTCAATCAGACATGCGTGTAGCATATTTCCAAATGCTGATTTTTGCACTGGTGGGAGTGAACAACACAACCCGACCCAATTACCACAAAACCAACAAATGCCATATAGAATAAAGGTCAAAAAAGCTATAAAGAAATCCTTATCAATTTCTCACTGTCAAAAAATGTTGCATTGCTTAAAACTCTGGATACTACTTCTCGACACCCTGGTAGAAGTAGAAATTACATTGATGGAAATTTAAATAAAGAGGGGGGGAGGGTATACCCCCTTTCTCCCTCCTACATTCCACCACTGTTTAAGCTAAGCTTTAGAAATTTGGAGCGTGTTCTGAGTACTGTCACAAAGACCTGTGGACCTCCTTGCCCTACTATCTGACTATGCCTACATGTTTATTATTTCCAACATTTCCTTCCTGCTTCCCTCCATTTCCAGTTGCTGTTGGTGAGGAATCCGAGGTCACCTACAGATCAGCAGGTCTCTCCACATTTCCTCATTTATGTTTCTCTCCCTGAAATCTACTGTTTACTTTCTTCCCCATCGAGCCCCATACCTGTCCCCCTGCCAACCCCTTCCCCCATCATCTTTACATTCTTGTTTCTTGTCGCTCAAGTCTGCTCTAGGTTATTTGCCTCCCAAGAAAGAATCTTTCAGGATCTTTGCCATCAGGTCCTCCTTTTTCTTAGGATTTTATTTTAAATCACTAGAGCGCTTGCCTGGCATTTCTCATAAATCAAAGACAGAGTGAAGTTTATTTGTAGAAAGAATAATTCATGATACATCACAACCTTGAAATTTGATAGAATGGATACTGTTACCTTGTGGTGTGGGTATGAACAATGTAATAGTGTGTTCCATCATCTGTCCAGTTTGCGCTGGCATCCCCAAGACCAAAGGTTTGGTCAGGATGATAGACTGATCTTTGGCAAACCTGTGAATAAAGTGATACATTTATTTCAAAGTGTGTGAACTGAACTGTCTGAGAAATAATTGTTAAAACAAGCACCCAAGATACTGGTTTATTTTTTCATAAAACTGCACTATTAATCAAAATTTGCACTCTCCAATTCCTAGACCCGAGTACATTTAGTGTCGTGCATTGTCTGTAAACGTCAGTTGAAATCCATCAATGTGGCTCTGGCATACGTAACATAATTTGCTAAGTTTCGACGTATGGTTTTTACTTGTTGGATGATTGATCATTCACAAGTTTGGGGCAACTCAACCAACATCCCAATACAACGGTAGAAACATGCATATTATCATGTGGATAAATAAAACCACATCTATTACCGAATTGGCCCGAAGTGTAAAATAGAAAAAGAATGTTTACAAAAAGGCAGCCCCAATACACAACTGTAGCATCTAGTGCCTATTACACAGTAATTCACATAATTATGGGTGCTGTTAGTGACAATACAGGGATGAGATTGACCAATGATAAAAATAGCTGAAAACAGCTAAAAAAAGGCATAAAAAAGCTGAACTGTGAAAATCTCCCATACTTTTGTGCACAGCCAATGAGGAAAAAAAGCTGAGAAATATCACCCCTGTATATACATTAACTTACCACGACATCTTTACAGTTGGTTGTCCCATCTGACCAAGGGTAGCATGGATTGTAAGCATACTCCCAGGGCTCAGCTGGATTATACTGCTTAAAGCCAAACCTGTCAAAACATATACATTAACAATGATAACACAAAAAATAGAGCTTCCGTGTACATGTGTTTTTGCAAAAAATATGTACAAATATATGTATGTACAGGTATCACTTGACTTACTCTTTACAAGCCGGTAAAGCTTTCTAGATATTGGTAATTACTGTAAGTTACATGTAAGTGAGTCAACATGCATTGCAATCAGTCTTTGAAAGATACGCCCCCCCAAAAGATACTGTATATTCACCAAAGCCGGCTACTACATATATCTGCTAGAATCAATACAGGACAACTGTTCTTTCATTCAGTCTTTTTTCCTAGACGTAGAATGCACAATGGTCCAGTTCATTTGTAAAACTCATATCAAGGAATGTTGTTGTACGCACGTACATGTTAATGTATGACCTGTGCTCCACTGCCCTGACAGAGCTTAAATCTCTGTCTCAAAATTTACTTAAAATTTACGATAATGAAGAAAATGCACTTAATTCTTGATTTCTTGTGGAATGTATCATAAGTCAGACCTTTTAGGGTGTAACAAAAAATATATACACATGTACGGTACTCTATGAAGGCAGAACTTTTTTTCACCCCTCGAAGACAAAGTACATGAAACCCTATCGCCATATTATGCACTCTACCCAACTCAGGAATAAAAAGGCCATGTCCAGCAACATACACGTACCCGGTAGAAGTCAACAACTTGTGCACACATACAGTTTTATATCTCACCTCGGAGCTTCAGCTTCATCCTGGCTGCCCAACCTCCGGATGTTAATAGCTTGTTCCCCACTATCAGTTATTGTTTTACAAGAGCAGTCATCGACTTTGACACAGGGGGGAAGAGCAGCGCTAGCAAGCCCTTGCAGACAGAGACAAATGACACCACCCACCAAAAATCTCAGAATCCGGCCCATGGCTCATTATTAGAAAGCTGTATGAATACTGTTTCCCAGGAGAAATAAAAGGTGAAAAATATTTAGGGGACTGAACAGGTAAACCTTGTGTCGCAATTCGGTATGTTTTTGTCCATTACTAAGATAACATATCAACTTATCAGTCAACACAGAAGTAGGCTAGGTACGCAGTATGTTAAGATCCTTGGATGCCCAATTTTGATTTTGGAGTTCACATGCTTCAAGGTTCCCTGGCTTACATGTACATGAACAAGAAAAAGCTAAGGGACAAATCATATTGTGAACAAAAACAAGAACATCTTTTTCAAAACAAAAATTTAAAACCTACACGGTCTTTCTATCTGTTAAAAAAAGTGAGCTAAAGGTACTGAAGATTCAGTATTTACAGATGCATAATTAGTCTGGAGTAATTAATTACCAATACCATATTTGGATGGCCTATTACATCACAAATCTTGCGCAATCTGACCAATCACAAGGCTTGCTCTAGCAGCCTGCAATGGATTGTATGGGTGTTTCCATGTTACGGGGTGCTTTTCTTAAATGTTGCAGCACATGGAACAAAAACACTAACGAAAAATTTCACTTGCAAACAGTTGATTGGCTGTTCAAAAAAACCTGACCCCATACATGCATGTAAACTACATGTAGAAGTTCTGAAACATGTTTGTACCTGTGGGATTTAAAATTTGTCAGTGCCTACTTGAGCTACTGGTATTTAAATTTGAATTTGGACAAAAATTGCTGTATCCAACTAGCAGCAGGGAAAGGTCGCTATGCCCATTGTGGTACTCTAGACTGATAATGTGGTAATCACGACTTCATGTACATGTACAAGTACATCAATGAGCACAATTGCCACAGGTGTGTTTATCACCCAAGTCTCCGAAGCTTCAGACCATAATTTCCCTGAGTATTATGATGTCAAGCTTTGCAAGTGTGAGCAAACCAGGTTTCATCTGGACATGCATGCATGACTGTACATGTATCTGATGATAACACATTGGTTTATCAATAACAGAGTAAGACTATTGTAACTGCAGAATGACTGTGATAGAGCAATGAACCAGAGAGGTCACACGACCTTCTCAGACCATTCTGCAATGAATAAATCTTGGACTTTAACTCCCTTTAAAAACGTCCTCCAAGGATATGGATAGATATCTTCCCAAAAAGAAAGTAAAAAAGTTAAGATTTGATTTGAAAAACAAAAATCAACAAGTGTGATAAAAAAAATTGTGGAAAAAAAGGACGGCCTGTGCAGAGTTTGTCTGGGAAGTGATATGAGAGAGTATAGGCAACACGCATACATGTACATCCAGGAAACACCCCAGCAACTTGCTTGTCAAGCTGGCTCTGTGGCATCCAAAACCTAAATTGGTAGTAACTAACGTACAGACTCTAGATGGAAGTCACATCGCAGCTACAAGTACGTGTACCATGATGGCAACTAATATTTTTGTTCCAAACGCATAAAATCATTGCAAGTTGTAACAGAAAACAGATAAGTAGCAAATCATTGCAGGTTCTAACAGAAAACAGAGAAGTAGCAAATCATTGCAAGTTCTAACAGAACAGAGAAGTAGCAAATCATTGCAAGTTCTAACAGAAAACAGAGAAGTAGCAGTCAGAAGTTACTCATATACCGGTACATGTACAGTACATGCGAGCTCTGCAAACATGGAGGATGGATCCCAAAGAACTTGAAGAACACTGACACTGACATTGGATCTTTGGACAAGCATACACGTACACCATGATTTGTACATGTACACTGTAAAAATAATCCCTTTCCCTCAGATGACAGACAACACATTATTCAGAAATTTAGTTAAGTCTTCATATCTTGCACTATTCTGATATCCAAAGTTATCAGAATTATAGCACATACATGTACATGTACCTGTAGTGAGGCTGTACATTTGCTTGGTGTGGATCCTAGCTCATGTGTACGTGGTGGTTTACTCTCAATATTTACAGTCTTGCAGGCACATGTAGGCAATCCAGTCATAGTGTGCTTACATGTACACGTATGAATGTACATGTACTTGCTGATGACAGTCAGTGCTGTAGTGTTGGGATAAGGTCAGCCAAGAATCCAAATTCCAACCCTGTGCATGGCTTAGCCAGTTTAACAAAGGGTCAAAGGTTAGAAGTCCTGGGCCAAAATATCCCTAATGCTTATATAATCATGTACGTGTACATTGGACTACATGTACACAATGTATATAAAGGGGCAATGCAAACTTAAAGGAAACATACATGTATACATGTATGCAGTGGGAGTTCAGCTCCACTTGATTTTTGCACATTATAACATGTATGTGTAACAACACGAACAAGATCGGCATGTATTTTTCTTCATGAAACATAAGAAGATGGTACATGTACATCACTAGGTTTTCCATTCTTAGAAAATCCTTTCACTGATATATTTCAGAGGGTGCTTTTTGTTATGAGGCCCTACTTGTCAAGAAAGCACAAGAAAAAGTACCAAACTTTGTCCTTAACAATTTTCCACTGGCAAAGTTCTGAAGAAAAATTGACCATTACCATGCGTACGGTATTGTCCAAATAAGATCCTTAGCATGATACACAAGTAAAAAATAACTTACATGTACATGTAATCCAAGCAAACGTAGAAAAGTGTAATAAACCTTTTTTATGGAGCCAGCTAGAACTTTTCTACCTTGGATGACATCACACTGTTCATGAATATAGAAATGCTTGTTAGCATAAAACCCAAAATGGTAAAGATTCTTCCTTGTACTGCCACAAACGAGGTGGAATATCACAGTACCATTAAAAAAAAGCTTTCCAACATGTCTTCAAGTCACTAAATTCTCAGTTCCTGTCTCCTTTAAAGGGACTTTTTCACTCTGGCAAATTGTAGATGCACAGATCGAGTTCTGTCACAATTTGAGAAAGTTACATACATGTACACAAGATAGTGGGAGGGATAGAAA